GGTCCCGGCCCGTGGCGCCGCTGGTGGGCGTGAAAGAGGCGCCGAGGTTGAGCGGGCCTCGGGGGCCCGGGCCGCATCCCGAGAGAGTCGCCGTGGGCCTGTGGGCCTCGAACATGGCTGGCGTGACTCGCAGGCTTGGAGACGCGCGGCCCTCCGTCCTGCAGGCTCTGCAAACTTCTCTGCCGCACGTTCTCCAGCCAGCGCCCCCGGGCTCTCCGGAGGCCCGCGCGCTGCCTGAACACCCCACACCCCTCGTGGGTGGGGCAGCCCTGGAGTCCGCTCTGGTTCCTAACTGCTGGTGGCCGCTCGAGTGCTCAGCAAACTTTAGCGTTCCGACTCCAGAAGAGCAAACTCTTGGGTGAGCCTTCCAAGAGGAAAGATAAGCGGCCTTCGGAAGAAGGAGGCGGTTTTGCAGCAGCGATGGCTAATCCTAGCCAATTGGCTTCTCTGTTTGCCGCCTTCGTTTATTGGTATTTCCACCAGAGGAAGCACAGGGCAAAAGAGAGAACAAATTCAGTTTTTGAGATATCGCCTCCGAGCTTCAGCATAGCCTTCACCGTCCGTCACTGGACGCTAGCTTTATTGCTAAGGCAGCGAGGAGACCGTGTGAGCAGTGGGTAGATAAGTGCACAGGCTTTTCTGGAGTGAGACCGCTTGGGCTCAGATCTTGGTTCCTCCATTTATTGTGTTCTGGAATATACTCCATTGTGCCTTGCCTCTTTTATCTCATTCGTAAAATAGAATAAGCAATCACCTCATGCAGTTGTTGCAAGAAACGCCTGCTGTGTGGCAAATGGCGAGTGGCTAGTGAATGTTAACTCATAATAATATTTGTATTCCCGGTTTACAGATGAGAAACCGAGGTTTAGTGAAGTTTAAAAAAAAAGAAGAAAAAACCTAATGTCTAAAGTCACACTGCTAGTTAGTGGCAGAACAAGAAGAACGAAGATTTGTGATTTGCAACTTTCTCCTTTAAGCTACAGTGCTCCAATAAAGAGTATTTTAAAAAATTTGTGATCGTAGGGGAATTGAGATGTATAATTGAAAATATAATCCACACTATCACTCAGCCCCCAGTTGTGTTCACTTTTGCTGGACTTAACTTTGGTTACGTCATTGTAGTCCATATATTTTTGCAGAAGTACCATGATATACTAGAGAGTGCTTTACACTGGAAGTCATGAGAATTGAATTCATTACCTATATGATCTCTACATTTCTCATTCTAAAGATCTAGACTAGTTTATAAAATTACTTAGTTCATGTAGTCATATGCTTACAATACATAAGAAAAATGTCCTTAGAGAAATGTACATACATAGAGAAAACACACTAATTTGGATAATTATAGACTAAATTTTTAGGATTTCAAAAGTTAAGTGCTTATGTAAACTTCTTGGAAATACATTTATTTTATGAGACCCTTTTGTAATTTAGAATCTCAACTTGCTTACAAATTAATAGAAATGTCTACTTTACATTTTTTTCATGGATTGTCTATTGACATTTTGGTGTAGAGCTTCCACATATGTACTACAATGCAGTGTGTTCTTAAAAGATCCTTAAAGTTCTGTATTTTGCCTTGGTATATAACCATCTAACTCCATAAACATTGTCCTGTACTCTCTCTTCTGCTGTCCCCCCTCCCCCAATTATTTTACTGTGGCTCTTTCCATCTTTTGCCTTAGAATCCTATTTTTTTTTTTTTAATCTACATTTTATGTCAGCAAAGAAAAAAATAGATGAGGCAGGTACAGCAACATATTAATAATTGTGGAGGCTGAATGATCGTGAACTTCATTATGTTTTTCTCTACATATGTTTAAAATTTTTCATAATAAAAAGGGTTTGGGTTTTTTTCCCATTTCCAAATTGGTTTCAAAACCATTTTAATTTCATGATTCAGACATATTCTTGGTTTGTTCTTTGATTCTGTTCATTGGTGTTTTTTAAACCAGTGATCTACAAACCAGTTTCTATTCTTGATACCCTTTTTCTAGTTGGATGTTCATGTCCCAAGGTCTCATTTATCTTCAGAAGTTACCTTTTTTTGGGAGAAAAAGTTTAAAGTCACTCATGTCCCTAATCCCTTCCGTTTTCTCTCTAGAAATTGAGCGCCACTAGAAATTGCATTCCAGGTATTTATCCTAGAGTTCAGTTTGGGGAGGCCATACTAGAGGGTGAATCCTTAGTTTAGTGTCTAATCAAATCTGCTGGACACTTCAGATGATTCAGACGTTCCTGATAATGGATCTTAAGAAATCTGAAGCCGGGCTCGGTAGCTCAACCTGTAATCCCGCGCTTTGGAAGGCTGAGGTGAGTGAATTACCTGAGCCCGCAGCTTTGAGACCCACCTGGGCAACTTGGTGAGTCCTCATCTCTACAATAAATCAAAAAATTAGCCGGGCATGGTAGCGGATGCCTGTAGTTCCAGCTACTTGGAAGGCTGAGGCAGAAGGTTCACCGGAGCCCAGCAGGTCGAGGCTGCGGTGGCTGGGAGTGGCCACTGCACTCCAGTCTGGGCAAACAGAGTGAGACTCCAACTCAAAAAAAAAATAAAATAAAATAAAAAAGAAATCCGAACATTCAAGTGGGATGTTAGGGAAATAGGGAAACAATAGATAGATGATGGTGTTTGGCATCAGGGAGATCAAGCAATGAGTGTAAGACCATTTCAGCACATTGGCAAAATAGTGAAGGCAGTCTCCTGGGTGGCAGCCCATGTTAGAAAAGAAATTAGAAGCAAGTTGCAGGGTGGTATTTTTAGGCCCTAGAAATTGGGCAGAAGGCTCACAATGCCCTATTCCTAGAGAAACTTTGTTACCTTGTACAGTAAAGGCAAAGCATCTGATTTCTGAAAGTGGATTTCAAGAGAGGTTGGATTACTAGGAACAAGGAAAGAGTCCGGTTACTAGGAGTGATGTAGAAGGCGAGAGTTGCATAGAATGAGACTGACTTGGTGCTGAGTTTCTGTCCCTTAGGGCTCCTCTTTCCATGACAGGGTTTTATTATTATTATTATTAGTTGACACATACTTAGGAGCTACAGTTTGATTATTTAGATACATGTATACAATGTAGGGTTTTCTTTTTAGGGCTCATTACTGTGAAACTGGAGAGGTGTGCACTAAAAGCTGGATGTGTTATCTTTGAGAAGCAGCCTTTGTTCACATGTGGCTCACTGGTAGTGGGTATTAGTTGGCAGGTTTGGATCTGGCTGCCTCTTTTTTTAAAGATTTGAATCTATGTTTCCTGCATATTACTAGATATACTAGTAGATATCTATGACAGGGTCACAACTAACCTGGCAGCCCTAGCAGGGAGGTAGCAAATAATATTCCAGTTTTTTCCCCTGTGCAGAACTGTAGAATCCCTATTTTATTTACTTATTTTAATTTTTTTTTGTGTGTATCTAGATGGCATCAATTGTCCTGGTTTACCTGGGACTGAGCGGTTTCCTGGATGTAGAACATTCAGTCCTACAACTGGGAAAGTCCCAGGCAAACCAGGATCATTGGTCACCTTTTCTGTAACTAGCTAACATAGCTCTCCTTTGTGTGGGCCATGATTTATTTGGAGTCTATTTGCAGATAATACAACTGTGAGTTGTATGTTGTACCCTTCTTAATTTAAAATTTAAATGTGGCATAAATATGAATCCCTGCCAGGGTAGCTTTTTTCTGTGTTAATTTAATTTGTTAATAGTTTAGAAAATAATTTTTACTAAAGTAGAAGAAAATTTAGAGTTGATGTTTCATATATATTCTGGTATTTCAACTAACTGACTTATGTCCACCAAAAGTTTCTAAGTAGGATTTATGTTTATAGAATGAGTTTTTATTAGACTTGTGGCAATTTCAAGAAATTCTTCTATAAGAAAAAATTGCTTTCAATCATTTAACGTAAAAGGTTACTTAACTTTAAAAGCCAGCTTACTTTCAATAAAGCCTGTTAAACTAGCCCACTTGTGAATGAATTAATTGACTAAAAGTACTTTCTTAAATATATCTTTTTAGATTGGTAATGGCTTAAAATCCAAAGTGAACAAAAAACGTTAGAGCATTGGAAATAGTACTGACATTGGCCCATAGTTTTCCTCTGATTAAATGAAAGTGACACCAGTAGATTAGAATGAGACTAGGACAATTCACACTGCAATTGTGTTAGTTTAACTTTAACAATCTTTTAACACTCTTGTTTAAATGTAGCTGACATACCATAATTACAAATCTACAAGCCTTGATTATAGAATTTTACATCATGAACCTGTGGGGAAATTGTATTGATTTTTTTTTTTTAAATAAAGCAAGCATTGTTCTCAAACTGTGGCATCTTCCCAAGTTTGTTTATACCCATGGCTCTGATCTGCAACTGTATGATATATATACGATGGTATAGCAGGTATTTGAATGACATTAAAGGTAAGTAAAATCTCCACATTATTAGGTCAATCTATATTATATTGATATAAAACATGAAAAATGCAAATGACACATATGCTTAGGTAGACAAAGTTTTTTCCCCTTTAGCTGTTTATACATTTCTTATATTTAAATTACTGATGGATAGAAGTAAGGTGGACAGTTATCTGGGAGAGGTTAAGAACAGCTCTGTAAATTATTCCTGTATGCTTTCCTAGCTTTGTTTTCTTTACTCCTGCACTATCCCTTTGAGTTAAAGTAAGTTCAGCCGGAATGGCCACCTTCCTACCTTCAAATTTAGCTAACTCCTTTTGGATTTTGTAATGTATCCAGTTCTTCAAAGTCATGGTCAGAGACAGTGTCAAAATGGACTGCTGGCGGTCAGCTCATCACTGTACTCTGCCAGTTACTTAGCAAGCAGTTATTCTTAGGAGTTACACAGCTAGCGACCAGATGTCTTCTGTCTGGAAAGGGAGAAAGCTAAGGCCACTCATGACCATGGTTTTCTCAACATAAGCTATATATACTACTCTGCAAGTGGAATGTGGAGATGAAAGAAGGGTGGGTGGGTGTGTTGTGTTTTTGTTGCATTTCTTTGGTAGGAAATTTTGAAAATCTATAGTAAGCAAGGTTGGGAAATTTTGTTAATGGCAGTCCAAAACTCTTAGACTTAAATGCTTAGATGAGCTTATGTGAGCTGTCTATTCCAGCATTCCATTTTCAATATACATTTGCAGAAGAACATAATCATGTTCTATTATGATGCTGTTATGTGTCCAAATAGAACTGATTTTTAAAGTCAGATCTTGTCATAGGTCTGACTGACCTAAAGATCACTTACTTAGCAACTTCACGCAGAATCTATATCTTACTGTCTTTGAAAAACCCAGTATGGTGCTGCCATGTAATAACTACACAGTGAAAATCTTTGCAGTGAA